TGTGGAGAACAAATAAAATACACTAAAGTTCAAGAGAATAACTTGGACCATCACTTAAATTAGTATAGAATTAAGTTCAACATGATCAACCATGTTTGGGTGATGGAGCATGAGCATGGTGGTGCCCTTGTTTAGGAGCATGAGCACGAGCGTGGTGGTTGCCGCCTTCGTGGTGGTGGTGGGGAGCATGAGCGTGGTGGTTGCCGCCTTCGTGGTGGTGGTGGGGAGCATGAGCGTGGTGGTTGCCGCCTTCGTGGTGGTGGTGGGGAGCATGTGCATGGGCATGAATATCAGCGATATGAGTATGGTGGTGGCTTGGTGTAGGAGCATGAGCGTGGTGGTGGTGGGGAGCATGAGGGCCATGGTGGTTGCCGCCTTCGTGGTGGTGGTGGGGAGCATGTGCGTGGTGGTTATGAGGCGGCGAAGCATGGCCGGCGTGGCGGTGGTGTTTCGACAGCTCGCCCCCGTCAGCACTTCGAGCGAGAGAAGGTGTGAGAAGGACCAGAAGACCTAGGACTAACATAAGAGAGTTGAACAACTTCGACATTTTTCCAAAGTTTTTTTTTCTTTTAATTTCGTTTTCTTTTTCTTTTTTGTGATGCAATGTGAGAATTATAACTTAGGCATAATGTATATATAGGGAAGAAGGATTTGTGGAAATTAAAATTGAGGATAATGCATTTGCTCAATATTTGCCTTGATTAATATGTGACAATCTTGAATTATTAAATGTTCATACAAACTTGGCCTTTCCAATAATTTGAGGTTATTAAAATTAATGATGACATAAATCTTTCTTGCATAAGTATTTGAGTCCCAAATCCATTAGTAATAAATATGAAATCCCCCTAGGACTCTCTTTTATGAGTCATCATAATATCAACCTTTTACTTTGTTTTTTTTAATTTAATAAATAATAATAATAATAATTATTATTATTATTATCATTATTTGCCTTCTTTAAGCTATATAGTATAACTAATTTGGCCATTAAAGCATAATTTCAATTATTACATGAATTATTAATTAATAATATACATATATAATTAATTTGACTATTAAAGCCTAATTTCAATTACTACATGAATTATTTAAAATAGTGTATGTATATATTTAATTTGGGCCATGAGGCTTATTTCAATTACTACCCTTTCTAGTCGAGACAAAAGCCCAAATGATCAAGTGAAAAGGCCCACGATAGATAACGATAAGTATTTGAAGGTTTGCTTAATTCCACTTTGCACCCTTAAAATAGAGCATTTTGGCACTTTGCACCCTTAAAAAATAATAATAGCACTTTGTACCCTCAAAACACAATAAATCATTCACAATGCACCCTAAGTTGAATAATAAATTATAGTTCATTTTTTTTATAGGTTTATTTTATTTTTATTTTTCCAGTGTGCAAAATAGCAAATTAAATTATTTTTTCTTCAACCTCCAACCTAATTTTGAGCGCACAAAGGGCGAAAAATAAAAATCACCCCGGATAATTGAATTTTTTGATATTTTCATACGAAATAAAATCAAACTTTTATCACTAAATTATTCGATTGATAGATCTTTTATTGTAATTGGTGTAAATATAAGGTAGAAATATTTGGAAGAAGATATGACTTTCAGATAAGGATATAGCTGGAGGATTTTTGTCGTTGAATAC